GGGGGGGGGGGGGGGGGGGGGGGGGGCGGGGCCTCCCCGATGACTAAGCTAGCTCCGCCCCTGGGCGCGACGACGGGAGGGCTGCGACGGTGATGAAAGGCGAAGGTTGCGGCGGGTCCGCGGGAGGGCTGCGACGGTGGTGGTGGCAGCTGACAGAGAGAGAGAGGGAAGAGATAGAGAGGAAGAAGAAGAAGAATAGGAAGGAAAAAGTGTGATGGCATGAGAGAAAGAGAGAGGAAAGAGAGAATGTAGGTTTTTGAGTATTAATAGGGGTAATAATCTAGTGTGATCAACTTTTTCCGTCGAAAAACACCCTTAATCCAATCTGTACCATTAATAATTTATGGGCCGTGCCGAGCCTAAACTTCATGGGGCACGAGCACGACACGGTATATAAGTGGGACGTGCCAGGCCTAATATTTTCGAGACTTTGTTGAGTATAAGAACGGACATGGCACGAAAATAATATTTATTTGATTATAAAATACGTCAAACTTAAATAACGTCTAGCACGCTTCACCATATGTTATGCAACTACAATCTAAATATGTTTTTATGTCATCAATATGTGGGATAGGATGGAACTGGATTCAGCCCTTTTAGTGGTTTGGTTGACAACTAATGAAGCCTTTGCTCAATCTGGTAATTTATTAATATACTTTAACAGATATTTGATTGCCCTGAGCATATCAGCAACATATAAAATACCAAAAATGAAAAATAGGGGAAGAAAATATACTGTATGTTGAACTTTGTGGAAAAATGCTTCTGCCTATTACAACATGAAAGAACATGGGGAAAATAGAAATTTTGGTCTCTCAATCACAACGAAAGCTTAAGCTAGACATGGATTAAATATGAAAACTATATGGACATACTTCATGGATGTTATCTTATGCAGTTTGTCAATTCTAAATGCCGGAGCTATAATTAGGTAACAAACAGATCAAATACTGTTGTGGGTGTCAAATATGCTGCAGGCAAATTACGGAAAAGAGCATATGTTAAGACTTGTACACTTGTGACTTGTCATTTTTAATTACGTGAAGTTGTACAAATAGGGAGAAAGCACCACATGGGCTGCATGTCCCATCCCATTATTGTATTATAATTAGTTATACAAACTACAATGAAATCAAGGGAAGACGTTCAGTACACACGCCAACCTTCTCTGCAATGAGCATTACGAACCACAACAGCACATGGACAATGTAATCACAGTTGGGTATTTTTGCAGATATTATAAAATCAATTTCCTTCGCCCACTTAATTTATATTCCGGAGCTAGGAACACTAAGAAATGAGTATGAGGGAGGACTTGAAACTCAATTGCCATGACATCTTAGAAAAACAAAAGACAATAAGATACACATATACTCCAAGAAAATAAAAATTATCCTCCATAATTACCGAAACAATTCATGTACGAATTTCTATGCATTCATTTGACTCAACTACTGTGTACATCTATCTATCTATAACTATCTATCTATACATACATACATATACATACATACATATTATATATTATGGCAATTCAAAAAAAATTCTTGCCATATAAGCACTTGGAGGATGCACAATTTGCCAAGTTGGACAATTTTTTTACAAACAAAAAATTAGTTATTAATGTATTTATGGAGTTACCTCTCTCTTCTTTAATATTTCCATTTCTTTTATCCAATTATTCTTTTTCATTTATCCATTTATTCTTTTTTGTCTTTAATAATAAGTTGTTGATAAACTTAACCAAACACACATAAATAATAATTTTTTTAAATAAACAAAATATAAATAAGAAAAAAGAGAGTGACATATATCACATTTATTTAAATAAAAATATCTGATTAAAATTTATGAAATAAATTTTCTACTCATTTTTACTAAAATTCAATGATAAGTTACATTTTGATGAAAAAATAAACAAACATACACATAAACAATTATGTTTTAATCGATTAAACCAAAATATAAATGAAAAGAAAGAAAATAAACATTTGACATTCAATTACCTTTCAAAAATAAACTATATTACTTTATATTTTGTTGCAATGAAACACTCTCTTATTCGTACAATATATATCTATAAAATAAAACAATATTATTTAGCAAAATGTCAGAGTATAATCTTGATCGAGTAGTTACAGTTATTTATTTTAAAAAAATTCTTATTCATTCAGATCATGTTCTACCTTAAATTTCTCAAATGAAGAGGAATCACATGTGCAATAATTTGATAATGTGACCTAAGTTCACATTAATAATATTTGCTCTATATCATGTTGATTGAACAAGCTCTATTGAGGTTCTAAGTCGTATTCTAAGAAATTTTCTTTCAGACTTGGAGTTACCTTCGACGATTATAAATCAAAATTTTCAAAATGACTTAAGTATGATTGTTGACGAACTTTGACTTCATACCCTAGGATGAGACACAAGATTCCTTGAAAAATAATAGATGTGAAGGTTAGAAAAATCTTTGTTCAGAATCTACGATAAACATCACGTTTCATCAACTACTAACATAGGCATTTACCAAATAAATATTGGCAATTTTTAGTAAGATCGTCAATTGGGATAAACATATTTATCCAGCAATCAAGTATCTTTATCCAATAATCTCAACTCTCAAAATTGGTTTTCAGTTCGTCTAGACTCGAGAAATACGAATTAATATATGTTGTATAAGATAATAAGTTAATGCAAATAATCAAATGAAATACACTGATACAGTGTGTGTCAAGTTTCAATATGGATGAATAAATCCAATAATGAAGTATCTTTACTAAGAATTTCTCACTAAAAAGTCGTAATTTTTACAACATTGGTCGAGAGTTCGTCCAAACTCGAGGATCATGAATGTGTATTGGATTTCCAAAGGACCTAAAATCCCAATCCCTTTCGAGGGCTAAGTACCTCTGATCACAACCATAGGTGCTAAAGTAGAATGAAAAAGAAGCCAAAGAAAGCAAAAAAGAACATAACCTCCGATAAGATGAACATAATAAAACCATATCGAGCTATGATCCTGTCATCCCTACCTTTTTATTCTCCATAAAGGGGTCGGCGGGAGAGGATAAGAAATAAGTTGTAGGATCTTAGTATTTGCCTCTTTATATATTATATATCGAACAATAGACAACCCCAATGGTTCTCTGGCGTTATGGGGGTAAAAGCGAGATCTCTAGATAATTTTGAGTCTAACATACACACACACACATATATATACACATACATGTATATGTAATATCAAGGTATACTATACTTTTTATTTAACTCAAGATACGATAGAAGATAGGTATTACGAAGTATGTGCATAAATTAGAGGTTACAGAATTAGGGACTAGAGTTTACCTATTAGAGGTTAGGATATAGTATAATGCCTCAAAAAAATCCGGTTAATTCGGGTCTAAATAGTAAAACTCAATGGTCGTATGGTAGTATGAATGCAAGAGTATAACGTACTCCTGGCGCACGCTAGCTTGAACTATAGATATGTGTGTGTGGTTTAGGTTGGCGTACGCTAAATATTAGTGTTTTGGTTGACAAATTTTGACATAAGTTCTAAATGGGACGTGACAGCGACATAATTTATGATTCGAAAACCGAAGCATCACAAGTGAGTGTGCTAAATATTGAAAATTTCAATTTAGATATACTACAAAATCTGTTACAAAATATTTAGAAGATCTAAAATAATTTAAACATATAAATTATAAAATAAATCTCTCCGGCCAACAGACCGGGTAAAAAGCTATTTTAGTTAATTTATGAGGCAAAACCAAGGTTACCCAAATAATCCCTACTGTTAATTAGTCTGACTTTTATGTTTACTACACCTTCATACATATATGTGTAGTTATTTGTCCTTCCCTGCTGCAGATGCATGCATGTCCAAATGTAGTTTTATCTCCTCAAATGGTGTTTGATATCATGGCCATTGGCTAATATTAATGAATGGAAAAGACACTGTGATTTCCAAGGTCCGCCCAAATGCATGCATGGAGGATGAACAGGAAATTAGTAAACAATGGAGTTTTTTTACAATGGGATCACTTGCATTGCACTTTGTAAGATTGATTACAAGAGAAAACAAAGAGGAAACTACAGAACCAGACAGGAGTAAACATCTCCAAGCAAAAGTTGAAACAAACAGTGTTTCAGAGATAGAAAAAGGGAAGCACAGAACACCAAATAAACCAACCCCTACATTGGGTGTGAAACACTTGATCCACAACCAACAAACACAAAAATCTCTCTTGCAACCAAACCAAATAAAGTTGCACCAAGCACAGTCAGCTCATCCGAGCCGACCGAAACCATGGCTATTGAACACAACAATGCCATAAGCCGCCTCCTGGAAGTCGCTCGAAGACGCTCAACACAGTGAATCTCAGATGCGGGATTACATGGCGGTGGTCAGGTATGAGAATCAGATTGCTCCGAGCTGAAGAAGCAGAGGGAGCCAAGGAACCAAATCTTCGTGAAGGCGAGCAGGAGAACCCACACCCCAAAATCCAAGAACCGTCACCACAGCTAGGGCTGGAGGTTCGGTTATCGGTTGCCGGTTAACCGGCCGGTTAAACCGATAACCGGCATTTACCGGTTAACCGACTAACCGAAAATTATGTTCTCGGGCGGTGTTCGGTAGGGGAGTTAGGCATCGCGGTTAACCGGCTAACCGAGGGCGATAACCGCCGGTTAACCGGCTAACCGCCCCACCCCAAATCCCTAATCGAAGACACCCGCCCCGCCCACCCCCTTCCCTTCTCTTCTCTGCATCGCGACGGGAAGAGCACTTTGTGCCGTCGCCCGCCTGCTGCTCCGCCATCTCCCTCCACGGCCCGCGCCCGGCACGCCGTTCCGCCATCTCCCTCCACGATCCACGGCCGGTGCCCCTGCTGCTCCGCCATCTCCTCCCCGAGATCCCGACCAAACCACGAGCAGGTGGAGGAGGTGTTTCTGTCGGGGCGAGCTTGAGCCCTGCGGAGATCGGAGAAATCATGATCGCGAACAGGGGGTCGCCGAGCCGGGCGCTGAAATCGGTAGCCGGCGGAAGGAGGAGAGCTCTGTTCCTTCGTCGGAACTGGGCGGCGCCGAGACACCAATATAATCACCAGAGAGAGAGAGAGAGAGAGAGGAAAAAGAGAGAGAAAGAAATTATGTCGTTGTCAAAGATTTTTTCGCTCTACTCCAAGCACGAGGGGAAACACGTGAGCCAGAGAGACCCAAACGTGTACCCTGCTCTCGGCGTCGCCGCCGACAAGGTTTGGAGCCCCGTCGCCAGGTTCGAGTCGGAGCCGTCCAAGTCCCACCCTTCGATGGTCCACATCAAGATCTCGTACAACAACAAGTACCTGTGCCGCCGCGACTCCACCTCCGCCGAGAATCTCATCGGCGCGTCGGCCGACAAGCCTTGTGGTTCACTCGGTTAACCGAGCAACTAACCGGTAACCGACCGGTTGGTTGTCGATTAATCGATGGGCTCCGCCGGGCGGTTGGCGGTAGGCTTGTTGGTCATCGCGGTTAACCGGTAACCGACATTTTGGTTATCGGTTATAACCAAGATAACCGAAAATCCACCCCTAATCACAGCCAACCGGATCAGACTCCGTCATCCACCCAACAACAACGACAAAGAGGCAGATCTGAAGGAGTAAAAATGTAATAGAATGGGGGAAAAACAAAAGAAACGTCACAAAAGCAGCTTTCATGCATGACATCGGCACACCTGTAGTCCAATCGTGACTTTCAAGTTTCAAGAAAGCAAAGCATGTGACAATAAAAAAAATCTCACAGGGCCATAAAATTGGATGGGCTCATACCCAGAGGCATGCCGAATCTGGCTGGGCCCATTGTGGCTAGCAGGTAACAAAAATATAGGCCTCAAACAATACACAGCGGAACCCGGAAGGATTAGTGGAGAAAAGCTAAACGCACAGCTTAATTAAGTTGCAGGGCAAATTGTCGGAATTACCCTTCCAGAAAAGCCTCTCAGACCAGCAAATTCAAAATGCTAAAAATCCAATCCATGAATCTCCATTATATATCTTGTAGATTAGGATAACAGAAACCATTGGGTGCCACTAAATGGGTATCGCGATTCGCTTCTTGTGGCGTAAAAGCGAAATGAACTAATGGTAATTGTTTTAAAAGAGTGTACTTCCCGCAGGATCACTCCACCCTTAGAATCATAAGTCTCTATGGGCTCTGGCTACCAACAACAGTAAAACCATTTGAGCATCCCATGTGATATGAATTGACAGTGTAGACCATCCCTAGTGATGAATGAGGTATAAAACTTCTCGAGTCGCTAGTAGTTCAACCAAATATGGATCTGTAATTGCCAGGGATAACTCGTCCGAAAGCGAATAAGCGAAGCGAGTGTCAAAACCAACGATCCCAATAAAAGAATCCCTCGTCTAGGGATTCTAGGGATTGATCTTTGGCACCCGCAATTACTTCTAACAAATAGGGATTTAGGGGTTGAGAAAAAGAATTAGGGATTTAGATGAGAAGAACATAATAGAATCAAGAATCGGACGAGGCCTTGGATTGTTTGTGACAAGAAATTATGAGTTGAGAGAGAATAGGCTTAGGAGAGATACTTTGCTTAATACTTTTCTTCATTGATTATTAATCAATGACAACGTACATATTTATAGGGAAATATTGAAAAACCTTAATAATAATTCTAATTCGACTAAATCTCTATTAACCATATTTATAATTATTCTACCTAGTATAATAATTGAAACACTAATATGGAGGGTTTCTAACAATCCACCCATCTTGAAAGCAACCTTGCCCTCAAGGTTGTTGTTCACTTCCACCTACTTGACCTTCCGCTTTTTTCATTTCCAATTGCGCTCGATCCCTTGAATGAACTCTCCTCGCGCAACTCAAACTTTCCTCGACTCTCCTCCACCAACGTGACATATGTCACGTTCTTCATAGCCGAACAATTCTTCCTCCTCTCTTTCGAATTCCACGAAATAAGAGCAAGAGAACTGTTCTTCCTTGTGTCCATCATCATTACCCACCTGGAGATCTTCAATAAAATGCTCCATAATTTTTTTCATTGGCTTGGTGGTGAAAACAACCCATAACTTTTCCGCACCTTCTCTTCTTTTACCTTGGATTCGGTTCACAATTGATTGGGAGAAATGGTTAGAACCTTAACCAATATTAAGCCACCTTGAGCCCTTCTTCTTTTCTTTTTCGATTGGGCCCCTTGCAAGCCAACCCACCAACATAATAACCTCATCTCATTTATTTTCCAAGCCTACCTTCTTCAAAAGACAGTAAAGCGCGACCCAACTTCTTCATGAAGCAAATTGGGCTCGCTCACCCCGTAACCACTGACTCACCATGGATACACCGCGAATTAATCTCAACTAGAGCTCAAGCATAAACTCTAGCCGGATGCAGTATAGGGCGAGTATGTTTTAATTGTCAAACCCTACTTCAATCGCTTAGTTTGTTATCTAGCAAACATTTTTTGGGTTTAAAACTAAGAAACCTACAAATGAAAACAAGCAACTAAAGTAAATAGAGGTAGTCCCAATGTGAGAAGAGTTCACCTGGGTATTGCTCCCCCTAGCTAACAAGTATGACTTGTTGGATCGAATGGTCATGTGTGGTAAGGTGGTTGTAAATCATAGGGAAGTGAAACAAGTAGCCAAGCGCCACTCTCTCGGTCTCTAGGTCAAGGGAAGTCGATTCAAGCCACCAACATGACTCTCTCAACCTATTGACTAAGGGTTGCCAAGACTTCACCCTCGAATCGGAGTTCGGACGGCCACCCACAACCAACCCTAGGTGCTAATAAGAAATAAGAGGCGTTTCCTACATTAACCTAGATAGGAGACAATGAATAGCCTAAGAACCCAAGCTTTCAAGCCAATTTCAAAGAAAGGAAGGGGGTTTTCTCTCTACCTAGGTTAGAATGGAAATTAGATTTATAGGCTTTCACACAACACAATTATTCATAAAAATACCTCCACATTCAAATTAAACACAATCACACACAAATCATTCAATCCATACAAACATTCACATAATTGTAGCTAGGGTTTACAAACACCCAAGTGAATAGGTAGGTTATTCCATAGCTAGGAAAAAGAGAGAAAGAACCATGGAGAGATGAAAATCTTTCCTCATTGTTGCTTGAATCTCCCTTGAGAAGAAGAAACCTTCAGTCCTCTAGCTTGAAATGAGCCCAATCCCCTTCTTCCTCCTTTGAATGGAACTTTCTCTCTCTAGAATAGGAAGATGAAACCCTAATCTCTCACTAGAAACCCTCCTTTATTTTGAAAACTATAACCCTACAAAAAAGCTCATCTTTCCCCTTCAACTCAACTCCCCTTTTATACCCAGGTTGGGCTCAAATCACGGTCCCAGTTCACGGTCGTGAACTCAAGGAGAGGACTTTGATTTCGGGCAAAAACGCGCCGCTTTCCTAAGTCACTTCACGGTCTGGGGCTGATGTTCACGGTCTTACGACCGTAAACTGGATTTAGTCCAGTGAACCTGCAAATGGCTCTAGACCCTCCGCACTTCACGGTCTCGGGCTTTGGACTTTTCTTCGATTTTTGTGCTTTTTAACCTCCAATCGACCCGAAACTCGTCCTCGACCTTCCCATACGTGCTAGGACCTAAAATGTAACAAAAAAAGCATAACCTAGCGTAAAATAGGTCGAAAGACGATGAAATTTAAAGTCATATTAACAAGAAGGAGGGGTAAAATGTGTGCATTTAGACCCAAATCACTCCCCCACACTTAGACGTTTGCTTGTCCCCAAGCAAACCAATTCCAAACAAGGTAATATCTAAACCTAACAAGATAACTTGGGGACAAATCAAAGGGTACAAAGAGGTGAATCTCAATGACTATTGGGCATCAACACATGAACCGCCTCAAACAATACCGGCATCCACCACAAACGACATTCGATTGCATCAAGAATGGGAAAATGAAAAGTTCTCACCCTGTACACAAATCAATGCAAGTCTCGACCGAACTACTCACCAACCACAACTAATCATGCATAGAACTCAAGTCTATGGAACAGACAATGGGGCAACATAGGTCCTCACCGGGGTAAGATTTGAACATGCAAAACAAGAATGAATCACTCGCTCTCGACCAGTGGGGTCAGGACCTTTTTTGGTGCAAAAGATGTGCACAATCATCAACACTCATCCCTATCGTCTCTCCACCATGGTGGCAACCTCTAAATGTTAGAGTTCACGAGACGGTTGACATCGGGTTCAAGTGACTGGCAATTGTCTTGAACAAGGGGAAAAATGCTTTTTGGATAGTGGCAAACATGGCATGAGGTCCTACATCTTCAACCTAAAATCCAAGGTTCTATCTTCTCGACGAAGAACCTTTCCTACAACAAAGGCCACTAGCATCGGCCAAAAATAACACTTCCCTTCTTCCAAACCACTACCAATCACGAACTACGTTCAAGCACACTTCTTCGGCCTATCTTGCTATTCACATTTCAAACCTAGTAGTGAAGGAGGCCATTAAACAATTTAGGTGTTTCGATGGCCTGGGTGCCAAGAAACCCTTTCTAGAGCATACACTTAGACTTTTGTGGCCACTCTCTACTTTTATTTGCCCAGTTTTATTACCCCTTTTTCGTTTCTTTTCTTTCTTTTTCTATTTTTTTTTTGAGGGGGTGTACTAGAGAGCTAAACACATGCCACTTCTTTCATTTAACGAACAATGCTCTCCATTTAAGAACTTTCCTCCAACACTACCTTCTCATTTCTAGCAAGAATCGTGCAAAACCACCTATGTATGTAGAACCCCTTTCAATCACCATCAAGCTCAACAAGCACGAAGCTCCTAGCATTAGAACAACCCCCAAACTCACACAGCTCAAAGGGGTTGACTAGGGGATAAAGTGTTCCAGGACAATCAACTTTTGAGCGTGGACTAATCCTATGCCTCCATCATACTCACTAGTGAGAATAGTTAATGTTACACATCATGGCGAGATGGATCTATCACACATGAAAAAGACGATCGACACAAAACTCACATGGCTACCTAGCCGCCCAATCATCTATTCCAATTTCAAAACTTCAATGCATGACAATTGTAATTAAGAAGTAACCAAGTCAAGACATCCATTCATTTAAGCGCACATGAGAACTAAGATTTTGCACAACCCTAATGCATTCTCAGTCATCATAATAGGATGCACTCGATTACATGCAACAATTCAAGATCGATGCCAAATAAGCACAAGATTCACCCACTAACCGGCCATTTTGATCATGCATTGCTTGGCTCCAAGCATTCACTCTCACACACAAGCATAATAACAGACTACCCCCCATACTTAAGCTCGACATTTCCCTCAATGGCGTAAAATAGGGGGTAGAACAATGTTACCACATAGCTTGGCGAGTGAAA